TCTTTCCCTCCCCCATAGCTTACCATTTTTATTGGTTTTCTTATTTACCTTGTAGCTACTTTTGACAAAAAACCCACCCACATCTCCCCTAATGGAGGTTGCACACTAAAATGCTATTCTTCACCTTACTTCCTTCACGTAACAGTATCTCCTGGAGACGTGCATAGAGATTGTCTTCTGCATCCTGTGCCATTGTGGGGAGGTACCATATTTCTCTCAACCACTCCTTATTGGTGGACCTTAGGGTTATTTCCAGTCTTTAGTTATTCCAAATAATGCTTCAGTGAATAAATATCCTTGTGCATGTGTCATTTCATATTCTTGCCATTGTGTCTTTGTGAACCTTCCCCTTTGGAAGAAGAGAGTTGATTCTCTTTTTGTCGTGGGCCAGTGACCTTTTCTGTGGCTGGGGATTAGGTATTTGTCCATCTCTGCATCAAGTCAAGATTTTTTTAAACAGTTTACTTTTTCAGGTTTATTATAAGGGATACAATTCAAGAACATCCCTATGAAATAGATCCATGGGATAAGACATGAGTTGGGAGTGGCAGGGAGCTTCCATGACAGCTCGGGGCATGTCTCCCTTCCAGCACCTCAGTGTGGTTTACCAACCCATCAAGTCTAGATTTTCAACCTTCATCCTGACTCTGTAAATTTCTGGCATTTTATGCATTTCCTGTTTCCTCAGTAGGAGGGGTCCTGGCAAGATGGGTCTGCAAGGAGTAATGGTAGATGTTCCTAATATACTTTTTATAACTTGGATCAGTGTGGCAGGAATAGATATATTTGATATATGCCAAGCATTTCAAGGTGACTTGGGAGAAGGTTTACAAATTAGTGGAGAATTCATTTCTTATCTTGATTCAGGGCAAGCCACTGAATGCATAGATTATACCAAGCTTTCCCATGCGAGGATGAAGAGGTGGTTTCTACTCTGGAAGCTTAGCATTGCAGTTTCTAGGGAATGCAGGCAACCCTTCAGAATTAGGTCACCTTCTGTGGGGAGGGAAGGAACCTCTGGTGAGGCTGAAGCCCCCAGGCTGGCACTGACAGAGCAGAACGTTGAGTCAGAGGGAATGTCTGGTGTGGTGCGGCTCCAGATGCTGCTTGTATTTTTCAGGAAAAAGGCCAGGGGGAGGGACTTGGCAATTGTGTGCTTAGTGCCCTGAATCCTTACCCAGAAACCATGATCTCAGGAAAATCTGCTAACCTGGGCTAACCTGCCTGAACAAACAGGTTTTTGGTGTAGTCTCTTTGTGATATGTAAAGTTTGTCAGAAGACACAGCTAGCAAAGAGTGGAGTTGGGATTTGAACTTGGAGCTGACTTGAGCTCACTCTTCAAAGGGCTGGATCTACTCCTCTTAGCTAGAGGAGTTCAGGCAATGACTCTAATTCTCTGAAAATTAAACACTTTTTTTTTTTTTTTCAGTTTTGCAATTCAGTGATTTCAAAGTTTAGACAAGGCTTTTCTGGAGTGTTACCTTCTCTCAAGGTGAGGAAGAATGTACACGTGCTCCGTATGACTGCAGCTTGGGTCGTTTTTGCATCTCAAAGCAGTGCAATCTTCAGCCAATGTTCTTAGGTCTGGGGGTTACTGGACTTACTTAGCCTGAGCTGAGCACCCAGGACTGAACCTTAACCATAGTTAATAATTAACTCAAGCTTCAGAGCCAAGGGCAGAGTTTGCTGGATTTTATTGAAAACTTGCTGGTGAGAGAAGAAAAACTTCAAGATACTTTTTCCTGTTGTTGTCATATGACAATTAACTCGTTGGCTTCCTCTCTATGATAGATTCTTGATTCTTATTCACAGAAACCAGGAGTTTGCAGGAACACCTCAAAGCAGTGCAATCTTCAGCCAATGCCAAAAGCATGACTAAGTAATCCCAGGGCTGTGGTCTGGAAGTTTCTTTGCCCAGATTGGGTCTCTGGGCCTTTTTATTCCCTCCTTTTTCTCCTTTGTATCTGCCCAGCCTCTCTCTATCCAGTGACAGATAAATGATGACTCAACCCAACCAAGCTTTCTACCAGGAACACTTGAGCAGATTCATGTGATGTTAATGTTAACCCATCCTTTGTAAGAACATCTAAGTGTTCAGGGAAGGATATTTGAAGAGTCTGAGTATTTCTCTTTCTAAGCAACAGAGTAACCCTGGTTTCCATGGAGATGTTGGGAGCATTTGCTTACACTCTAACTTCAGAAACCAGCACGAAGATCTGGACAGTTTCTTCGGGGCTTCTTCAACTGGGGTCCAGCCTTTAATGACTTCGAAGGCTCAGAGCTCTTTGTGTCTGTCTTGGTTTTCCTTCCTTTCTCTTTGTCTGTCTTTGTCCTTCCCACTTTTTCCTGTAACTACCAGAAATGTGTTGACCTTTGACTCTGGAAGGAATGCTATTGTTCTTTCAGTCACACATACCCTTTGGATTATTTCCAGAAAGGGAAATTTCTTTTTTATTGACTGATGTCACTTCTTTTTTGCTTGGATTAAAGGTGTATCATCATTTTCAGGAGATCATTTTAGTCACACAGAGGTGCCACTGAAGCCAACTCAGATAACTTGTAATCATATGCTGTTTCCAGCAGGCTTCAGGAATAATTGCATGTATTTTAAAATTCTCATTGTGAGCTCTACTAAAGAGATTACTCTGTTTTGGAGAAATCAGATCATTCTGAATACTACCATGTGAAAAAAAATTACCATTTGATAACTTGCCTTGCTAGATCCTCACCTATGCTTTTTTCACATTGTTAATCCAAAAAGGAAGATGCTTCTGTGTAAACTCTGGGTTTGCTGAAGTTAAAATACACATTCTGTATTTAACTCTGAGAATTGACATTCTGAAGTCAAACCAAGTGAAGTCTGAATGTTAATCAGGGCTTGGCATTTCACCTTGTACATTAATCTATTAATTCTAGACCAGGACCAGGACCAGGATTTTGAGAACTTTCTGCTTTTGGTACTGATAAATGGAGTGGTTGGTTAGAAACATTAAACCTTTACAATGAGGATTCTCAAATAAGTGGTTCTATCTCTTCTTCCTTCAAGAAGTCACCTGTGTACAAGATGGATCGGAAATGTAGAGGCCAGTGCGTTATTATCAACAACCACAGCTTTACCGTTACCTCACTGTCAGAAAGACGAGGGACCCAAAAAGATGCTGGTAAGAAAGGCTGAAATGGTGTCTTGAATGCAAGTTGGTGACCTTAAAACCATTTTTTTATTTTCATATATTCTTTCTGTAGTTTTAATCTTCCATTTACATGTAAAGGTGATATTATAAATGTTTCTAAGTCTTTTATGTACCCCTAGTGTTTCAGTCCATCCAGGTTGCCTGAAACTACCAGAGACTGGGTGGTTTATACGCAAGAAACATTTATTTCTTAGAGTTTCAGAGGCTAGGAAGTCTAAGATCAAGGCTCTGGCTTTTCCGTGTCTGGTGAGAGCCTGCTTCTCACACAGCCATCTTCTCACTGTAAAAGGGGCGAGAGAGCTCTTTGGGGTCTCTTTATGACCTTAACCCTATGACTTAAGCATCTCTCAAAGGTCCCACTCCTGATACCCTCAACCTTGAGGGTTAGAATTCGACATATGAATTTTGGGGAGACACAAAATTTTAGACCATAGCACCTGGGGTGTCACCAACCTGTTTAAAGAGTGAAAAGTACCCCCGATCATTTATGACTCTCTGGTTTGGAGGAGAGCCTGCTGGAGCAGCAGGAGAAAACCTGAGTTTGAACTCTGTTTCCACCACTAACCAGGTTTGTGACTGCGGGAGAGTCATGGGGCCTCGGATCCCTCGTCTGTAAAATAGAATGAAACTCTGGCCTCTGCTGACTTAGACCGTTGTCATACCACTGTGGGTACTATAAAAAAGGCAGGTTAATTATAATATTTTATTGTTATGAAAGTAAAAAAAAAAATTCTAACGCTTCGGCTTATTTGTGGTAAAATTTTTATAACCATAACACTGTCTGACCCTTTCATTTTATTTCATTGCACTCAATTTCATTTTATTTCATTATTTTCCTCACTTTTTTTTTTTTTTTTAACAGAGTGCCTTACACATGTGTTTAAGTGGCTTGGGTTCAATGTAAATATATATAATGATGTGACTAAAGAAAACCTGGAGGAAGTTCTGATAAAATTTCAGAGCCATCCAGACCATGCTGATGGAGACTGCTTCGTGTTCTGTGTTCTGACCCATGGGAAATTTGGAGCTGTCTACTCTTCGGATGGGGTCCTCATTCCCATTCGGGAGATCATGTCTCACTTCACAGCCCTGCAGTGCCCTGGTCTGGCTGACAAACCCAAACTCTTCTTCATCCAAGCCTGCCAAGGAGAAGAGATACAACTTTCTGTATCCATTGAAGCAGATGCTATAAATCCTGAGCCCACACACCCTCCCCTTCAAAACAGTGTTCCAAATGAGGCCGATTTCCTTCTTGGTTTGGCCACAGTCCCTGGCTACGTATCTTTTCGGCATACGACGGAAGGTAGCTGGTATATTCAATCTCTGTATAATCATTTGAAGGACTTGGTCCCAAGGTGAGAGTTTTGAGTTGTTTCATCCACCTATCTACCTATCCATCCATCCATCTATTCATCTTTCTGTTCATCTATCTGTCCACTCACCTACCCATGCATCCATGCATCCATGCATCCATCCATGCATCCATCCATGCATCCATCCATCCATCCATCCATCCATCCATCCAACAAACCTGTATTGAGCATCAGCATATAAGTGGAAAGGAAGATAAATAGACTGGAACAGAATAAAAATAGACGCAGTCCTGGGCCTCAAGTTGCTCACAATCTAGAGAGATAGACAAATAGATTGAGAAGAGCATCCCCAGTGGTAAATATGCATTGTAAAGCATAGGTGTTATGGGAATTCATAACCTTACTCAGATTTGGAGGATCAGAGGAAGCTTCTAAAGATGACAAATAAATGTTAGGTAAATAATTGAAGTGAACGACATGTTGGGCAGAGGGAACAGCATGAATGAAGGCATGAAGGCCTTTTATTTGCTCCGTCATTTATTCATTTATCAGTCACTCATATTTACTGAATGCCTATGTGCTGCCCTTGGCATTGGCATTATAATATCCTTGGTCTCTTGCCATGGCTCTGACAACTTTCCTTCTGTCTCTGCCACATGCTCCTTACCCGCTACCCTGGAACTAGACCTTCACCAAGGTCCTGCCCTGGACCTCCTTCTCTGCTATCTTTCTGTAGCCCCTCTTGGCAGCTTTAGGTATACCGGGAGGCCACTGGCACCTCCATGAAAATGTCTCCAAAATTTCCATCTCTGAGTTTCTGGAGGGCAGAGTAGCTTCATTCAATTTTATATTCTTAGCATCTGATATAGTATCTGATATATTGTTGAGCTTTGTAACTATTTGCTGGATCAGTGAAGGACTGAGTAAGTCAACCTCTTTTTTAAGGTCAGTCCTGCACATTTTCCACAGTCTTCCAGATATTTTAATTCTGTGTTGCCCTTGAACCTCACATCCCATATGAACAGTCCTGAATTCATCTTCTCAGCCTTCTCCAGGAGGTTCTACTTCTGAATCCCCATTTCTAGAAATGGCCACAGTGCTCTTCTGGGAATTCAGGGTAGAGAATCAGAATTGGAGCCTTGAGTCACTTAAGCTTTTCCCTCTTCTTTACCAACCTCTCCATCCCCATCATAGCCATCAAAGGCCAACGTCCAATGGCTACAGGGATAAGGCTGTACTTATCTGGGGGATACTATGTGCGTACCATGCTGAGTACTGAGCTAGGGGTATGGTTGTAAACAAGAGAAATAAAATCTCTTCTCCATGGAGTTTACAGTGCAGTGAGAAGAGACATAATAACAATGTAAGTAACTGGATATTTAAATTAATAAGATAATTTCAGGAAATGATACCTACTATGAAGAAAGCAAAACAGGATAATGATACAGAGTAGGGCCAGGGAGCTACTTGAGAAGGTGTCTTAGTAGAGGTGATATTTCAAGTGTGAATGACAAGAAGATTTGGGGACAGAGAGAACAGCTGGTGTAAAGCAGAATGAAAGGACTGAGAACCAGCAGGGCCTGCTTTCCCACCTGAAAAATAACAACAGTGATGATGAGAAGTGGTAGTAATACTAATAACACTAAAAATGGTGGTCAATGGAATATTGTAGCCTGTGTTCTAAATGCTTTACATAAATTACGTATTTTAATTTTCATGGCAATCTCCCAAATGGGTTCAATTATGGTCCTCATTTTAGAGCTGAGAAAACTGAGGCATAGTGAAGTAAGTAACCTGTCTAAGACCACATAACCAGGGAGTGATTCAAACATGAGTTGTCTCAAGAGCTGTGCTTTGCTTCCAATGATATATTTTGCCCACCACTGGAACATTCTGGTATATATTGCACATGGAACTTTGACTTACTTTTCATATGGTGCTGATCACATTTTGCCTTATTTTATGAATTTTGTGTGTATATCATCTTCGCTACATGTCTCATGTCTGTATTCTAAGTATTTAAGATCAAGAATTGTATCATATTTATTTTTCTATCCTCCCCAAACCAAGAATAGAAAGGGCATTATTAATAGTAGACTCTCTTTTTCTATCTCTGTCACCTATCTATCCTTTTAATCAATCTATCATCTATCTATCTATCTATCTATCTATCTATCTATCTATCTATCTATCTATCTATCTATCTATCTATCATCACCTATCTATTTACTATCATCTATCTCTACCAGCTTAAATGAAAAACACGGAAAAATAATTATATGCTAAGATCTTTTGTGGACTAAATGCTTGAAAATGCAAGGTGTAATTATTATAATGTTCTTAAACACTGAATATAGAATTGAAAATTTTTATATAATTTAGCATTTCTTTTTAAATTTCAGAAGTATTTCTTTATATTTGGCAGGATTCCAGTTAGAATCTAGGCATGTTAGACTGGGAAGAAACTATATGTTTTAAGGTCTTCTCTCTAAGATCTGGTACATGGTTTTTGTCTCCTGATTGAAAATATATTTTCTTTTCTGGCTGCAGACATGAAGATATCTTATCCATTCTCACTGCTGTCAATGATGATGTAAGTCGCCGAGGTGGAACAAGGAAACAGATGCCTCAACCTGCTTTCACACTACGTAAAATTCTCATATTCCCTGTACCAGAGGAAGAACTTTGATTATAGTAGCGAGTTTTCATTGACTCTTAGTCTTGAAAGGAACCTTGTCATCTTTTCCAATTTTCACTCAGCATAGGAATCAGATGGTGAACTGGTCTCCCCTGTCATTCTTATAATAAGAAATGCCTTGCTTGTTTCCTGACATGGCAAATTCTGTTTTCTTTCGTTCTTTTTGACAAGTCTAAACATTAGAAAACTTTCTTTATCGATGCCTTGGATTGTAATCATGGCTTTAGTTGTGCACTCTGAAAAAAAAGTAATTGGCCTCAGTTTGTGTATCTGTGAAGTCAAAGCTGAGACCAGGTACATTTTAAGATTCCTCTTAGTTCTAGGAACCAATGTTCTTAGATTTCCCCTCTATATGACCACTCTTTGTTATACTTCTGTGTGACCTCTGCATGGCCTTGTTTTGGACATTGGCTGGTGACAAGACCATGGTTTGCTGACCCTCTCTCTGCTCTCCCCTTCCCAAGTCTTCTCTTCTGCACATCTACTGGGGGGAAAATGTCCTGCTTTAGAGTCTAGGAGGGTGCAAGAACTGTTTTTCTTGGGTTGGGAACTGGGTTGGCTCTTGGAAGATGACAGCTCAGTGTGAAGAGAGACACATCCAGCTACTCTGGGAACAGAAACTTGACAACTTGATGTTCCTTCCATGTTGGTCACAACCTCTCAGATGCTGGTGATGGAACGTTTTTTTCAATTTCGAGAGGAATTTTTCTTTTTAAATTTTTGGAAGAAATTAAATTTTAATTCCTGGAAAGAGGGAGATTGAAGCCTTCAATTTTAGATGAAGAGGCTGAGGCCCAAGGAGGCAGAGCAATTTGCTACAACCTTTCAACCTGTTATTGTTTACATGATTTTATTTCCCATGTAAGTGAACTGGACTGTCAGGGGACATAACAGAACTTTATGAATGTCTCCTTGAATATACAGCTGCTCAGGAAAGATGTCAGGGAGTGAAGAAAACTCTCAGTGATGCCTAATTTTATAATTATTTCTGTGAAAGTCAAATTAATTTATGGTGAACTCACTATGAGAAATATTTGTAAGAACTTTGTTATAATGTAGCTAGTAATCACATGGGTTTGACTGTAGCTTGACAAAGAAAACGAATCTAACACATATGTCAGGATGGTCCTCCAAAACTATTGTTCATACAAGTCGAAACTAACAGCTGGTGTTTACAGTCTTTGTCCTATTGGATATGCACAGCTTTTGGCCATTTAACAGTCCTCTGCAAGTGAAGCGTGCAGTAGTACAAAGGAGAGAGCAAAGAAGAATCTGGAGATAGAAACCTTGGGTTTTGATTTTACCTTGTGATTCCCTTGTTCTGAGACAGTAGCTCAAACTAATTTTTCAAACTTTCTCTATAAAGTAGAGAAAATACTATCTGTTGGGAGGATTAAGGAATATATATATATATATATTCCTATATATATATATATCTCCTTAGATTTAATGGATATCTGTTTAGATATATACATATATATATCAAAATGGAGATATCTACATATCTATATAGATATATAGCCATAGCTTGCTCTCTATATATGCGTAAATATCTATACATTTAAATTTAATTGTGATGTGGTGCATCTTTGTATCTATACATCTATATACCTATATACCTGTATACTTATGTAGGTATATAGCT